TTACTAATAACATGTAAAATGTTTTAGTACCTTTGTTTCCATAAAAATACTGTAGATGGCTTAATAAAATATCATGCAAGTAACTTTAGCCAGGCCTCTAATTACCTTAAATAGAACTGAGTCTGGGACCTCTAGTTAAAGGAATTTGTTGTTTTGTAGAAAAAAGGATATTTTGTTTGTCAAAAATAATATTGAATATTAACAATGTTAAATATCACATATTCAGTTTAGTAAAAAGCAATTTCAATATGACATTGTTAAGGGTCTTCTGCTTTAAGGCAGATATAATTAATAAATTTTTTTTAAAGGGAATTAGAGGATAAATATATATTGATTTGGGAGGAGCACGAGGCTAAATTTAGGTCCCACAATTCATTACATCAGAGAGCCTTGAAAACAAAAAAGAGCTAACTGCTAACTGATAAAATGTTTTGAAGTGTAAAAATATGTTTAAAAACAATTTTAGTCTTTTTTTCTTCTGTAGTTTAAATTTTGTTTAACCTCAGGATGAAATACTTAAATTCCTATATTAATTGCTAAAGGTTCTGGTTTTTTTTATATTTGATTTTTTCTTCTTCAAAAAAAAAATAGCTCTGGAAAATATTAATTAGTTTAATGAAAAGAGGAAATGAAGAGGGTCTTAGTAACATAACTGATAAGCCAATCAATATTGATGCCACCATTTTCCCCTTTTTTATTTTCTCCCTCGCTACGCTCGTCCGAAAATAAAGCATTTCTTAATTAAGTAGTTGGTAAAAGAACAACAAGACGTTTGACGTTTACTGAATGCGGTGCGTTACTGATCGAATTTAATATCAAAATCCTTATACATATATATAAATGAACAACTTCCAGCAGATGAACCAACAATGTATACATATTATAACACATCTAAGATGAAATACTGTTATGATAACACTGAAAACATTTTTATATGTATTTGATTTTAAATATCACCTAACACTGATGTAAAAGTACCACATGAAATCCGTCATAGAACACCAAAGCCGCACAGGAAACAAAACCATTTTAATGGATAAAAAACCTGTACCCGCAGCAAGTGCTAAGCTATTCTCAGGATATGGATGGCGGGATATTCTCATCCGTGGTACAATAACACACACACACACAAAAAATAATGTTTATACATATTACAACCCGGGCTCAATTTTTTTTTAAATTCTATTTGTCCGTATGCAACGTATAAAATTAATAACTAAAATTAATTAAATTAATTACATATGCTTCGATTAGGCGAACTATGAAACAACTTTACCCTTTCAGTAACGCCCGTCGAATGAATAACATTCTTAACATGTGTAATACATGTATACAAAATTCCCGCCTCACGAAAAACCCGTGCAATCTTCTTATATAGTATTACAGATGTAAAATGACAAAATGACATACGTTACAGAAATAAGAAGACAAAACGACATAAAGAAATATAATTATTTTCTCCCTCGCTACGCTCGTCCGAAAATAAAGCATTTCTTAATTAAGTAGTTGGTAAAAGAACAACAAGACGTTTGACGTTTACAGAATGCGGTGCGTTACTGATCGAGCGCAAAGAAGTATTAAAAGTGTTACAATCCTAACTTTTTTGAAACTTCAAGTCTTTTTTCTAAATTGTAATGAACATAACCGTCAGATGCGGAATCAGATTTCCATCTACCATGTTTTTTGAACATTCTCGATTCTACCGGGGATGAACTGTTAGCCAAAGCGGAAGCGCCTCCACTTCGTAGACTGTGTAACCCAAACTTAGACTTGTCTTCCCCTATACTATCTAAAGCATCTCTGAAAATTTCTCTAGCTCTAGTGTACGAAAGTGGAGTGCTAGAATCTGCTATGACGTAACTATTGGTTTTCCTCAAAAATCTAACCTTAGTAAATAAAAATTCTTCGGAATGAAAATTGAGCCCGGCAGCAGCAATATACTTTAAAAGCCAAGATACCGGACAGAGCTTTGTTTGTAATTTTGCGATAATAACTTCAGAACCTAGTTTTTTCTGATCTGTTTTGCTATTTGTAACTTTAACACTGACATGAGTATTGTGAAAAGATAAATGATTCATTTGAAGATGACTTAATTCATCATATCTAAAAAATCCTGAAAATCCAAGAATGCACATAGTACAAAGTCTAAGATTTTTCAAGTTATTACTATCTCCGCCATATTTCTCCACAATTTTTGTAAGAATTTCAACCGTTACTGGTGACTTTTTAACAGCAGGTTGACAAGACAAACTTCTGGAACCTGCATAAATTAATTTCACAATTTTGCTGTCACACGGATTGTTTGAAACTAACATTAAATCATGATTCCATTTAATACTGTAGAAATAACTGTCAATAACGGAATGACTTACTCCTTTACCTAAGATGTCACTAAGAAATAAGCTGACTGTGGTGTCCTTGGCGGGTAGATATTCAAACTTGTGTAGCTTACACCATGAAATAAACTTTTCGAAATAACAATCATATTTGGTACGTGTATTCTTGGACTTTGAAGCTCTTGTAATTTCCGGTATCCTTATTGCTGCTGTTCCTAAGGTAGGATGAGTTTCAAAACCATGTATGTCCTTCCACAATGATGAAGAGTAAATATTCTGAAAAATACCAAATAATTAAAATCTTGTTTGTATCAAACTATAAAACAAAAACAAAAAATCACTTATTTAAAGCAGACTTGTCTACAGCTAATACTGGACAGGCAAAAAACTTTGTTCTGTTTAATTGATATGTGCTAATATCGAAATAATTCCAATTTAACAACATCGAATAACACATGCAAATTATCAAGCACTTTGCTATATACATGTAACTAGTATAAACATATACTTCGATCATAAACAAAAAGCGAATACATTTATCGCTCTTTCGTGATAAATTTCTGAACACCGTTCAAGTTAATAAAGCGAAAACAGTTATCGCTTCTACAAAATTTATATAATTAAGATTAAACGTGACAATAATTCAAATACAAAGCGAATACAACCTTAGCTTATCATACTCTGGCGAATACAGTTTTCGCTTTAACAAAAAATCACACGCATAGCGAAAACAGTCATCATTAAAGAAATGTAGTAATCTCCACAAGTTACATGCAACTTCTTAACAGAATAAAATTAACATCTCTCTACAGCTGCCTTGCATCTACTTTAAGGACTAAAACATTGCTAACAAAAGGAGAAACGGCGAAAACACTGTCTTTAACGGAACCGGGTGTGAAAAAATTCGTCGGTTTCTGGTATTCTACAAAATCCTTGATAAAATATTTAAACTGTCCATTATGAGGCTCAATGATAAAAGGCCAAAACATCGAAGACTCCCATTTTGGTACTACAAGGGTACCATGTGCTTTACATGTAATCAAATGTTTCAAAACTTTTGTTACGAGACGAACTGGGGGCACCAACCAGTTATTCACCCCTTCCCAATTAAAAGCGAAGGCGTCAACGCCGGAAGTACCAGGACACCAATAAAAAGAATTAAAACATTGCAACTTGGTATTTGATTGATGAGCAAAACGATCTATATCAAAAGGGTCCCACTTGCTGTTAAAATAAGAAAAGATAGTATGATTGACACCCCAATCATCCCAATCAACTTCTTTGCTATACGCATCAGCTAAAGAATTCATATCCATAGGAATCCAAAAAGTAATATCTGAAATTTCATGAGCATGTCGAAAATTTTTCTTGCCAAATTTTGTAAAGGAGGTTTAGTACTCCCTTTATTTACAATTCTGACAATATTTTGATTGTCTGTGTAAACTTTCACGAATTTTCCGTGCAAAAAAATGGAAAAAGACTCAATTGCGTGGTCTAGTGACCGGAGTTCCCTATAAGTGGAACTAGTAAGGCACTCTTCTTCAGTAAACATACAGTGAGCGATTATTTTCTCTGAACTCAACATAACCCCAGCACTAGCTACACTGCTAGCGTCCACAAATAAAATGCGTTCCGGAGTGCGATTAAAAGGCCTCAAGGACCTGGCGGGAAGTGAATTAAGATTATCGAACCAAAATTGAAGCTCATAAACGGTGTTCGAATTTAATTGAATAGAACTGTCCCAGCCTAATGAACTAGCTATTAGACATTGACAATGTCTAGTCATAATATTGCAAATATTTCCTAGACTAAAAGTCATGGAAACGACTTTACCCACAATTTTAGCTAAACTCCTAGGTGTAAAAATATAGTTACCCGACAACGCTTGACTGAGCAAATTAACTAACTTTTGTCTTTTACGCATAGGAGTTTCAATGTAACCTTCCTCGAGGTTCCAAAGAAATCCCAACCATTCTAAAACAGGACAAGGCACCCAAATACTTTTTTCTTCGTTAATAATAAAACCAGCCTTAATCAAATCACCCCTAACTTTAAGGCTAGTTTGTGCGCATGTAGATGGACTGTCAGTACCCCACCCATCATCCAAATAAACTATAATTTGTATGCCTAAAGACCTCCAATATTTTACAAGTGGTCGTAAAAGTTTGGTAAAAATGTATGGCGCGCTGGACAGACCAAAAGCCATAACAGTGTATACAAAAAACTTTTGTTTTCCATCTACTTCCCAGCTAAACCCCAAAAATTTTTGAAAATCTTCGTGAATATTCACGTGATAATAACCGCTACGCAAATCAAATTTAAACATAAAATTTCCTGTCTGACAAAATTCTAAAGCTTCGTTAAAATCTTCAAATTTTACTTTAAATTTGTGAATGAACTTGTTAACGTGCCTCAAATCAAGAATTAAACGTTCTTTTCCGGAAGAATTGACGGATACAGTCAAAGGATTTGTACAAAATGGTTTCTCCGAAATCTCCCTTATACATCCTAAATCTAGTAATTCTTTGATAGATTTTAAAACGAAGGATGAATGTTTAAAAGATGAGTGATTGTTTTTCAAAAATATGCTACAAGGTTCTGAATCAAAGGGAATTTTATATCCTTGGACTATAACATTATCGATAAAAGAGTTGACTTTTAACACATTTCGCCAAAAATCTATACATTTAATAAGACTATTTCTGACAAAAACGTTACATTTACTATTCTCAGATTGAAAGATTTCTGATTTATTGTCACCTTTTATATAAAAATCGTACTCAACTTGTTTAATTGCCGCTGCCGTTGTCGTTGATTGGGATGTCTGTAACTGTGGGTTTTCTTTGGTCTTCTCGTGTAGCCGGCTTGACTGTGTTTCTCTGAACGTAAGGGCACTGTTTGGCGAAGTGTCCGTACAGATGGCATGCGAAACATGGGCCGACACCGAATCTCGCTGGTAGAGGCTGGCCTGGTCCAAACCTTGATGACATATTTGTTTCATTGTCTCCCTGAAACCTACGAAAAAGACCCTGTGTCTTTTGTTGAGGTGCGGCGGAGGCAGTGCTGGAACGCTGATAGGGCTGATATCGTCTGCTCCGCATGGCGCGGGAGATAGCAGCTCGTAGATTAGATGCGTCTTCAGAATCATCAGCAAGAGGACTGTCAGTGTACTCACGAACTGTGTCCCATCCATGTTTGTCTGCGATTTTGAGTATTTTATTTCTCTGTTTTAAAGAATCAATTTCTTTGTCCACAGTACTTTTTGTAGCTTGAACGCTGACCGCGCAAAGATCTCGAATGCGTGAAAGTCCCTCAATTCTATCTGAATTAAAGTCAAATTGTACCTTGTTCCCTTCACTTTTGAATTTGAAGCCTAAATCAGGAGATGAACGCTTAGCTGAAAAACTGCTGAACCTTGTCTCTAGCTCATCTAGAAAAATACTTCTCTGCCTGTTTAAAGCTTTGTCTAACTCGCTTTCTCCTCTTGTATTTTCGTGTTCACTGTGTGCTTCTTCGTCAGACATAATTAGGCGAACTATGAAACAACTTTACCCTTTCAGTAACGCCCGTCGAATGAATAACATTCTTAACATGTGTAATACATGTATACAAAATTCCCGCCTCACGAAAAACCCGTGCAATCTTCTTATATAGTATTACAGATGTAAAATGACAAAATGACATACGTTACAGAAATAAGAAGACAAAACGACATAAAGAAATATAAATCTTGTATATTAAAATTATCATCAGAGGGGCAGAAATTTACAAGTTGGATAAAGCACTGGACACCTGCATGTCGTAAATTGTAAAATTTTAACTGTCATGTTATTAGCCAATCAGAAGCAAGAAGGAGGAGTTTACTTAATTGAAAACAAGTAAACAAGTGATATATCTTGCAGATTCATTCCTTGACAGAGCAGTATTTCATGTCAGTGTAGATGCCATATCAACAGAAGAAAATTCTGGTAAGTTAAACTAATTGTTTTATAGAGCAAAAAATATCTTAAGTTACAAGATTAATTTTTGTCACCACGATTCCTCATCTTAAATACAAATTGTTGTATAATTATCAATGACTTAAATGGTTAAGATTTTTTAAAAAAAGAAATAATTTAATTACCTGATTCTTTTGAGCTAGTGGAATGCAGGTCTGTTCTTGAGCTCAAAACTTTAGCTGGTTGACTGTTACTTGATTCTACTCTGTTGTTACTGTTTTCATTATCATTCACACTATGATGTTTATCTAAAATTAATTTAAATATTTTGTATACAATTTGTAAAATCTTTTTATACACAAATGTAAAATCTTTGTATACACATGTGTAAAATCTTTTGGAGCAATTTAATATGACTGCAGATCTTTTAGATAAAAAAGAAAGAAAAAAATCAAAAACAACAACATTATTAAAGGGACTCCACTGAGGTTTTTTTGAAATGACGGAATGGAAATAATTTTTTGAGATTATTACTCCATTTGATGTAGATCTATACTAATAACTTATGTGCAAAATTTCAGATCATTAGCTTGCTCCGTTTTTCCAGAATAATTATTATAATAGTGAAAAATGACAAAAAATTGAAAAGCGTTTAAACGCTTTTCACTCAAATCGGACTGAGAATAGCACAAACATATGATTTTCAGTGTATTTCTTCTATATTTCTTGCTAATATTTTATTAATATTTATGTTTTAAGTGCTCATGTTTATCTATGTGAAAAATAAAATTTCATGTTTTTAGTATAAACCTCAGTGGAGTTCCTTTAAATATTATTGATATTTTGAAGTTAAAAGTCAGATAAAAGCTCTACTGAACCTTTCAATGAGTGTTGCCTATATAAGATAGATATTTAATGTTGGGTTAATTCTTAGATTAAAAAAAAATGAAATATAAAAATTAATACATTGCTGTTTAATCAACTAATGTGAATGAAGATTATACTATCACAAATGCACTAACATATAACAGTATTACAGTGTTGCCACACACCAGGTCCTATACTTTATTTTTAATGTTATTATTTATTAATTGTTTGCATAGACCTTTTTGAAAATTTAGCCAAATCCTGTTTTCCGGGACGTTTCATACTTAGCTCTGTGGAGTAACATAACACTCTTACATGATATTTCTGTTTTTCTATCATTTTACCGTTAAAGGTGAAAAAACTTGACGTGTTTGAAAATTATCGATGTACCTTTAATATCTATTGCAGAATTTTCAAAAATAAATTGTATTTCAAATCAATAAAATCAAAACTGTCGTAGTGGCATCTTCCAGTAATAAAGTCATTTTCTGCGTAAACTTGTGTATTTACTTTATTTTTTTGTATTGAATTATATATTCAATAATATTTAATTATTTTCTTACAAAGAAATAAGTTATAACTGTTTTATTTCAATTTAATTAAAAAAAGGCCCAAATCATAACTGTTTTATTACAATTTAATTTCCGAATTCCAGAAATTCTAAAATCCAGAAACTTCTGAAATCGGAACATTTTTCAGGGTCTCGAAATTTGTCCTTTGGATCAACCAATTCAGTTATAGGTGATAATGAAATTTAAAATAGTTATCAACTTTTTTAATGTCCTTTAATTTTGCTATTTTATGAACTTAATCAGCTTCTTATATTTTTCAACATGTCTTACTTAGACAATTGATGTATAATGTTTCTACTTATTCAGATAATTACGAACTTCTGAATTCCGGAAACCTTCAAATTCCGAACTTTTTAGCTAGTCCCACAGGTGTTCTGATTTTCAGAAGTTACACTGTAATTAAAAAATTGCCCAAATCATAGAGTTCGTTATAATATTACACACCATTAGGTTAATTCCCCAGAGCAGAAAGTACCGGAAAGCGGCGTTAAGCTAGGTTTTCGAAATCGTCAATAGCCAGGTGTAAATTATAATGTGTTAACAAATTTCAAAAATTTTTAATTATGAAAAAGTAGTGGTCCCAGTATCAATTGAATATATATATTAAATAACATTTAATTCATTATGAAGACAAAAATCCAGTTCTGTGAGATGATGTTGTAGTATGTAAAGCATCAGAAAATGTCAAACAAAACTGCTCTTGAATAAATAATGTAACCTTTATGTTTATACATTATATCAGATATTATATTCTGATAAACCAATAGTGAAATTTATAAAATATAATTTTCACTGTAGCCAGACTAGATCTGAATGCGGATGAAAAGAATATCATAATTAAATGGAATAACTGGCAAAAGTAAATGCCATCATACCTAAATTTTGATTCTTTAGGAAAAGAAAGTAGATGTCATCATACATCATGTTACAAAATGTAACAAAATTAGAGAAGTTTAACAGAACTATGTTGATGTCGTGAAGTCATGATATGATGACGTCATAAGGAGAATGCGCGACATTATGCGGCAAAATCAGTAAAAATACTTAAAATCACTTAAAAAGCATGAAATAAAAAGAATTTTTTTTTTTTACATGATTATAAGATCTATATTTTCACTCGTGGCTCCGCCACTTGTGAAAATATTGCATCTGGTGTTCTCTAAGTGAAATATATTTCAATCCTACATGCAAAACAAACAAATATCCTCTATATATATATGCATGTTTTTTTTTCCATAAAATTATTTGACTAATAATGTTTTGTTTTTATAGATTGATTTATTTCATTTTAACCCAAAAAAAGGCCAAAAATATACTCATCACTTTCACATACCATTTATGTGAATTCCATAGAGCTATAAAACTCGGAAATGTACATCAAATACTGGAAAACAGTGTTGATTAATGTTTTTGAATTTATAATTATTAAAAAAAGTACATTTTCTTTTTAATGGCTCATCTGAATTCTTTTTTGATTTCATAACTATATTTCAACTAGGAAATCACATTAAAATTCATCTAGGTCCATTTAATGTTATTGGCCTATAGGAAAAAATATTTATAATTTAAAAAACTCTCAGGAGCCAAACATCACATTCCTTTAAACTTTTTAAATTGTATATGGTATCTTTAAATCTGAAATGCCCTCATAATCTAGTGTTTTGTTGTTGAACTAATATCTACTTCTTGTTGCTTTAATTTTATACTGAGTTTCTTAAGACAAAGACTTATGAAAATGACAAAATAACCGACGCTAATTTACTGCTAAGCCGTACATAGAGATTTTGTTCTAAAACTGTTTTTAGTAGTCTATATACCAACAAGTATTTTATTGTCTGAAATATGAATTTATCATGGTAAATTGTAAAAAAAATATTTGAAGACAATTAACAACACGAATACTGCAGTGCTTGAAAGCTAAGCTTATCTTATCTGACTTTTTAGACTTATCTCTGTTGCATATGTATTAATTAATTTTATGTCTTAATTGGTAAACCGTAAAAAGTAGTCAGATTACATAAGCTAATAAAAATTTACTGCTTTTATCCATGTTCAAATAACTAGTAAATTGAAAAGTGAATAAAATTAAGTTTAAATCTCACTTTTTTAAATCTAAAGTTATTTTGTAATCTCAAAATAAGTTCATGATAACACACTTAAATACAAAAATAATTATGACATTGTTAATATTTTTTCAGTTAATTTTAATAAAGTTTGTTTAATGAAAAGAGGAAATGAAGAGGGTCTTAGAAACATAACTGATAAGCCAATCAATATTGATGCCACCATTTTCCCCTTTTATCTTGTATATTAAAATTATCATCAGAGGGGCAGAAATATACAAGTTGGATAAAGCACTGGACACCTGCATGTCGTAAATTGTAAAATTTTAACTGTCATGTAACTAGCCAATCAAAAGAGGAAGGAGGAGTTTACTTGATTGAATGGTTTAAAAACAAGTGATATATTTTGCAGATTCATTCCTTGACAGAGCAGTTTTTCATGTCAGTGTAGATGCCATATCAACAGAAGAAAATTCTGGAAAGTTAAACTAATTGTTTTATAGAAAAAAAATAAAATCTTAAGTTACAAGATTAATTTTTGTCACCACGATTCCTCATCTTAATACAAATTATCATGACTTAAATGCTTAAGATTTAAAAAAAAACAAGAGCTGTCACAGAAGACAGCGAAGCTCAACTTATTAAATACTGGATGCAGTAAGGAGGACAAAACTATGAAAGAAAAATCAATTATGTATAATTATGTATTAAGTAATAGTAAAAAAATAACATAAATTCCAAGATCAAGGGGAATAATTCTAGAAATAGTCATGCTAGAGTTATGAACCTCGTCACACAACATGTGTGTAATGATAAGAAATATATATTTGAAGTTTGAAGTAGATACCTTTAAAACTAAAAAAGTTATTGTAAAAAATAACATTTTTCTAGTTAAAAAAATCTAAGTTTATGGGGAGTGATTCTTGCAATATTGGTGCTAGAGTTATGAAGCTTGTCACATAAGATGTGGATGATGATAAGGTACATATATTTGAAGTATAAAGTTGATCCCTTTAGAAATAAATAAGTAACAGTAAAAAATAATACTTTTTAAGGAAATTTCTAAGTTCAAGGGGAGATAAATTCTAAGTTCAAGGGGATATAAATCTGAAATATTGGTGCTAGAGTTATGAACCTTGTAACATAAGATGGGAATGATGATAAGGTAAATAATATATTTGAAGTATGAGGTTAATCCCTTAAGAAATGAAAAAGTAACAGTAAAAAATAGTATTTTTTAAGGAAAATTCT